TCTTCTTCCTGGCCTGTGGTCGACCGCCGGCCGCCAGCCACCGGTGACCGGCCACTGGCCAGGGCCGGCAAGGGTCAAATCCTCACCGCTTTGGGCAAGGGCGGCCCTTGCCGGATCTGGCGTGGGTGACCCTCACTGTCGCCCTCGCCTAGGCTGTCGAGGGCAACCCTCACCTAGGTTGCTAGTCGCCTCGCCGGATCTGGTGAGAGCGGCGGCGAGGGCTGCGACGCCCTTGCTAGCCCTAGCCTGTGGTCGGTTGCCGGCGCCGGCGACTGGCCATGGCCAAGGAAGGGGAATAAGAAGAAAAATAAAAGAAAAATGAAAAGAAAGAAATATTTAAAAATTCAAAATATTATTAATAAAAAGAAATTTTGTCCAGTTACCAAACGTATTTATGTTCTTTTTCTATTCCAAGAATAGAAATTTTGGGCAGTTACCAAACACCTTCAAATGCTTAGAAGTTATTCCTAGGCATGGAAAAAAAAAGAATCATTTCTGAACAGAAATTGTTTCCGGGAATAGAATGGTTGCAAAATGCACTAATTGTTCGGCAATTTGGAGGTTGATGGAGCACTTACAACCCACACGAAGCGGTTAAATGGTTAAGTAGTCTTTACAAGTGACTGATCCAAACCACCTTAGAATTGATGTAGGTCAAGCATCTCTAAATTGAGTAGTCTTTTACTTTATTTAACACGTAATGTGCACTGAGACCCGTGTATTTAATTTAGAGATATGAGCACTAACACCTGTCTACTTGGAAACCGACGAAACACCTGCAAGTCTTAGGAACTGATTAAGTCTACGTATCTACCTGTGCTGGTGGTCTTCATCGTAAAGCAATTTGCACGTAGTTAGCAGGAGTTGAACAAGCGACTTCCGGTTCCAATCGAAATTTCTTCGACTGCCTAACCAGCTCCGGTCTTGGGAGGTTTGCTTAGCCACTCACCTAATTTCTCGGAAGGTCAAAGGAGTTCCATTGTGTTAGACTGTGCTTCATAATGCTAAGTCGAGACATGAGATCCAAGTGCTACGAACTTCCTCATTTCCTCATTTAGACGAAGTTTCAGCACATGGCAATTGAAAAGACCACAATACTTATCCCGTCACGGTAAGGACAAAGGGCAAGCCTCAGTTTTTTTTTTTTTGGTATGAAATATAACTATCATTCATAAGTTGACGTACAGAAGCTCAAAGGCATTTCCTAGCATTACAAATAGGACTATGGTCACGAAAAAATGGAGTGTGGGAGTTTTCATATATTAGCCAATATTACATTTGCTTTAGAAGGTTTGAAAGTTTTGTAGTGTGAAGTTCGCCTTTTGACAAGTTTACGAACTTTAGCCAAAATGATGGGGGCATCATGTGACTTGTGTTGGAAACGTCTATGATTACGCTCCATCCAGATGCAATAAATGGTCGCTAGGAAAGATATCTTGAGAAGTCTAGCCGCCAAATCCTTGCCTTTGGTAGCACTTATCATCCATTCGAGTTCTTCATTCCATCCTCTTGTAGACCGCAGGATTCCGTATTGTGCAAGGATAGTATGCCAATTGCTTTTAGTCTAGGTGCACTGGAAGAATAGATGTTCTCTGCTTTTCATATCAAATAGACAGAAATTGCGATGGATATCTACTTCAGGCTTCCAACGTGATACGATCTCTGCTGTGGATAGTCTGTCCCAGCTTGCTAGCCAACCGATAAAGTTGTGCTTGCTGATACCGCTTTACCAGATCAATTGGCACCATTCGACAATCGGTCCCACTCTCCTGGTTTTATCGTATATCTCGTGGTAACAATATATTGGCTTAGATATGGGTGAAGCTAAAGCTGGTCGTAATTGAAGGATACAACGCCAACTCCATGCCATAGTACCCGTGATTTCAAGCTGCATAATCGGATTTCCTGGCAAGCCTCAGTTCTTGCCCGTAGTAAACCCACCCATGTTTTGTTCGTTGTCCCTACAGCCAAAACATCAACTCGTGAATCACTTTCTGGAATCTCTCTCTCTCTCTCTCTCTCTCTCTCTCTCTCTCTCTCTCTCTCTCTCTCTCTCTCTCTCTCTCTCGTTCATCGTGCATTTACCTACATTTAGGAGGTCCCTCTCTCCATTATCTCCGTTGCCAATGTCGGAAGCTGAATTATTAAAGTTATCGGCGTGGTGTCGTCCAAAGTAACGATAGGTACCAGAACCACTTCGGCGCCATGTCGTGAAAGAAGGAACCAGGAGAAGGGGGGATTAGATTACAGATCCCGGTAGTCCGGAATGAATGGTTAACGATATTAATCAATCATGTAAAGACAGGTAGTGTTGGGACATCTGTATATGCACTGAATAATCTTCATCTGTTCATTGGCTTGGAGCCCCCCGTACACAGGCCAAGCATGGCATTGCAGTCATTCTTGCCCTGATTGTCCATGCTCGTGTGACCATCCTGTGACGAGGAGTTTGGATTAAGGACTGAATGATATTGATCATCACGGATCGCATTTTTCCAGAGCAACAATCTTTGTATTTTCTGATAACTTGTACCATTCATATGAGAGTTCATAGAAAAAACCCGACGTTTATATCAGAGAACAAAGGGAGCAGTTGAGAATGGCTAGGCTAGCACTGAAACGTCAGTATTCCAGCAAGGGCCCAACTCGACAGGGAACTTCATCCACCTTAACCGTAGTTTTAGCTTCAAGTAAGTCGTCTCTAAAGATATGTAAAGAAACAAACATGGGTTGAACAATATGGGCACTTGACTAATCAGTGAATGCAAAATTACATTGACTGAAGCTGCCGAAGCGGCTTTTCTATTTGCAAGCATGAAATTATGATTATCAACAAGCTAAGAGTTTTCCAGGATGTATCCGCTGTAACTCATGTCTTTCGACCTATAATATTTAGTATTTACTCACCATATAGCGATAACGAGGTTTATGGCAAGAAAATAGAAACTTCATTCTCTGTTGTTAGGTGCACCAACCAACAAGTTGCTGTCAAATATACAAAGATTGTGCATTCTCATTCCCATTCTTTACAAGGTCCAACCCAATTTTGTGGCTTATTAGGTCTATTATTTAATATTAGACATGAGCCCAATTTAATTAAATATATAATGGTCCATATATTTGTGATATCCAATTAGGCATGTCTAACCCATATCTTAAACAATGATGGACGGTTGAGATTGGCAGCTCTATGGCTGGTTGCATCACTCCCTCTTTATAAAGTCTCTATTTGGTGGAGAATGTTGGTATTAAATTATCACGTTTCCCCTATTTTCCACAAAATTATTGAGAGAAAAATACACACCCATTACAATCATTATAGAGGAGAGTGGTGAAGATTCATACCCACGGAAAGACATCTTCTCTCTCATTGGATCAATAATTACTTCTTTTGATTCGGATACATTATATTTATCAATTTGATATCAGTGATCGGAAGATCCTATTATTTTAATAGTAGCAACCCTCAACGCGAAGATCAACATTAGCGGGCTACTGACTCGTCTGAATTCTCCCTACAAAAGGACAGGAAGTGTTATTTCATGTTCCAAATTGGACCAAGTTTAGGAACAAAATACACCCATTTCTGCAGCATCAGATAACTTCAAATTTTCTTGGCTTGTCGGGTCCTCTTTGTGTTTCTGCTTCGTCTAAATTCTTTCTCTGTTATCTACACGCAAGGAAATGAGATGTTATTTTCTGTATTAAATGGGACCAAGATTTGGAACGAGGTACATCATTTCTCAAAGTAGGATGATTTTCCGTTCTGCTATGGTCCTACCCCACTTCATTACCTTCGTTACCTTCTTAAAAGGAGGTTAAAATTACCAAAAATTTTCTAAACATACTGTAATTGTACCAATTTAGTGCTAAACATTTGTTTTTGGCCAATTTAGTCATAAGCTTTTTGCATTTATGCCAATTTAGTCCATTTGATCAATTTTGACCGGTCGGCGCTGACGTGAATGCCGTCTGGCGCCAGCCATCTGGCTGACGCTGACTTGACAATTTTTTTAATTATTTTTTAAAATTTTTATAATGTTTTATTCATTTTCTTTTTTCATTTCTTCCTTCTTCTTTTTTTTCCCCACAATGGCCGGCGAGCCTCCAACAAGGGCTGCGGGTGAGGTGGCCTCGTCTAGATCTAGGCGAGGCCATGGCCGCCTTCGCCTGCCCTTAGCAACACGAGCAAAGGTGGCTATGGCCTCGCCAGCCATGGACGAGGCCGACTTCGTCCAAGGTCGGAGAGATTGGCCTTGCACGCGGCCCCCAGGCCTTGCACCGTGAATGCGATGTGTGGTCGGGCTGAGGCCAGCCTCGGCATGGCCTTGTCACACGATCATCCAACTCTCATGGTCGTGCGAGCATATAGCACGTCACGCGATCAGCAGCAGTTGCTGATGGTCAGCACCATGTGCGTGCACAATTTTTTTTTATCTTTTCATATATTTTTAAAAATAATAAAATAATAAAATAAAATAAAAGAGTGAAGGACCAGCATGTGTGCATTTTGGGCACATCATTATTTGTACGCTTGGGGCGTGCGAGTGCATCATATGCACGCACGTTCATGACCAAAAATAAAATTAATTTGAATCTCATTTAAGAACGCGTGGCGCAGACGTGGTGCTAAGGGGGCTCCACATAAAAGAAAAATGCCAAAAAAAAGAGGATGGAAGAAGAAGAGACAAAGTAATAGGGCCGTGAGCTTGAAGATCTTCCACAAACTTGAACACACAATTAAAAATATATGAAAAGAGTGAAGGACCAGCATGTGTGCATTTTGGGCACATCATTATTTGTACGCTTGGGGCGTGCGAGTGCATCATATGCACGCACGTTCATGACCAAAAATAAAATTAATTTGAATCTCATTTAAGAACGCGTGGCGCAGACGTGGTGCTAAGGGGGCTCCACATAAAAGAAAAATGCCAAAAAAAAGAGGATGGAAGAAGAAGAGACAAAGTAATAGGGCCGTGAGCTTGAAGATCTTCCACAAACTTGAACACACACCACCGCTCTAATCATCACACGATCTAATCGCGGTGGCTTCGTTAAAAAAAACAAGAATTTTTGCCAAAGAGCATTCCATATCGTGCGACAAAGGATATTTCGTCTCCGTTCTTCGTGTTTTTCGCGCGCTCCTCCAGTGGTAATTGATGAGGATGGCTCTGCTCTTCACTTGTTTTTGCTTTGATTCCTCCCATCTTCTGCTGATGAGTATTGTTTCAATGTAGGTCCATTTTGAGTTCTAAGAGAGATTTCTGCAATTCCCAGATCGGGGACTGCAGATTTCGCTTCTTCTTTATGTTGTCTTTTTTTGTTTTCCTTTTTTTAGATCTTAGCTAACCCAGCTCATCGCCTTGCATCCAAGCTTCGCCCTCTCGCTGCCGACATCATCAAGCTCAACGCCCATCTCTCTTTGCAGGCAAAGGACTCGTCGCCTGATGGAGGAAGTGAACGACGACGCCGGTACCTCCTGTCCTCCTCCTTGCAAGATGCCAGGCCAGTCGACCCACCCACCTGGCATCAGACCAACCGTTAGATCGGCACGACATTGAGCACCACGTGACAAACGCTGCGCACTGCGTCAAGGACAACAGCAAGGACAAAGATTGCGAAGTGTTGAAGCTAATACTACGACCTAAATGGGGGTTGAATAAGTTGTATGAAAATACTGTAAAACTTTCACGAAATATTAAACAATCAGCACACCATATAGCATTAGAAGCAAGAAAATGTGTGAGATGCTAGTACGTAAAATAGAGTGAAATAAATAGATCACATAACAATTTATAATGGTTCGGCTTTATATCAAAGTCTACGTCCGCTCTCTCACTAACAACCTTAATAGCGGTTGGATTTCACTAATAATCAGCAATGCAAGTTATAGCTTGGCTAATGTTGTTCCTTTCAAAAACCACCACACTTACACTTGTATACTTGACTATCGGTTACTACCAATACTGAGAGAAATTTAAAACAAGATCAAAGACAATTTCTAGCTTAGAATGTCGTTCCTATATTCAATGTGTCCAACCTTCTTTTCAGCTTCGTTGCTCCTTTTATAATGAATTCTTCAAGCTACTTGTTGAAGAACTTCAAGGATGCCTGGCTAGCCGTTTGAGAGTTGTTGGAGACCTTAGATAGTATTGGGACTGCTCCTGCAATCGCTTCCTCTGACTGTTGCAAGTTTCCTAAAATAGAGTCTGCTGCCACTATTCTTAAGTAGAAAAACTGTTAGCCGTTCATTTGATTTCTTTTCCAATTATTCAGCTACGAAGTCCAAACTTATAAAAGCTATTTTCTGTACCATCAACGATCATCTTCAGGCATATATCTCACCATCATTCGAGCCGATGCATCACCATCACAATCCGATACGCACGATCACTGGGTGCAGACTGTGGGTGATTTGATTGACAATCTATAGTGACAACAACGACCCTATGACACGTGATGACATGACTGAGATCTTTCCATCTTTATCAGTAGTCAAAGACTTCCAAAAACACTAGCTCGACTTTGGTCCCTCCATGCTGTTGAGGAAAACTCCTAATGATTTTGAAGTTGACAAAACTTTTCATGTTATTGTAAATCTGATACTTATTCTGAAACATTTTATTCAAGGTATATATATTCTGAAAGCTCAGAAGGAAGTTTTTCAGACTTTACAAGCTGTCAAAATGAGAAGTTTAGACTTTAACATAAAAGTCACTCAGACTTTATAAATTCATATCTTACTGAAGACCCACATAATCTTAGTTCTGAAAAGCAAACGCAGAAGTTATTCAGACGCAGACGCAGACGCAGAACATCTTCAGACACAGATGCAGAACTCAGAACGAAAAATAACAGCTAGTGATCTGGCGTGGATTTCACGGAAGAAAAGTTTTGATTGACTCAATCTCAGTCTAATTGATTGACAATCAAATATTACGACAAGTATGCATTACAATGGATAAAGCTCTACTTATGGAAACCAAGATTCTGATTGTATGGGCAACCAGAATCAGCGGAATTCAGAATCTGTCATCCAACGGCTACTCAATCCTTTTTATACAAATCTGTCCAAGGTAAAGATTGGAAGATGATCCTCTGAAAGCTGTCCAACGGCTAGTTTGGAAATGGAGGAGTATTTAAGGAGATCAACGAGTAGCAGAAGGAAGTACAGAATCAAGAATCAACAAGTCCAAAGTCTGAGCATACTCCGATCCTTTCTCTTGTCTTTCTTGAGCCAAACATTAAGATCTTGACGGATACTTTGTAAGAGTGATTGTGTGAGATAGAGAGTCCTATCATACACAAGAGTGCTATCACTCAAAAGCTGTAATTCCTCTTGATTACATAGTGAAATCCAGCCAGTAGGCTGTTAGCGTGGGAGAGTGGACGTAGGCTTGCTATAAGCCGAACCACTATAAACTTGTGTGTAGTTTTTCTATATCTTATCTCTTACTTTACATACTGCACATCAAGAGCACTGTCTATATAAACTGTTTTGAATATGAATTTTATTCAGACTCAACTGTGTTCATTCATTTCCGCTTAAATTATTAAAAATTGTTTAAGATCACCTATTCACCCCCTCTAGGTGATCCTTGCTAGCTCTATCAATTAAAACAAAGCATAGATTATGATGAAACCTATGCACCAGTTGCCAGGTTAGAAGCCATTAGGCTACTATTAGCTTATGCTTGTTTCCATAACTTTAAATTATTTTAGATGGACGTGAAAAGTGCTTTCCTGAATGGATATATCAAAGAAGAAGTATATGTGGAACAACCACCTGGTTTTGAAGAACCAAGGAAGACTGATTATGTCTATAAACTCAAAAAGGCCCTTTATATTATGAAACAAGCACATCGTGCCTGGTATGAGAGGTTAAGTAACTTCCTTCTGCAAAATGACTTCACAAAAGGTAAGGTCGATACAACCTTGTTCATTAAGAGAAAAGGTAAGGATTTTTTACTTGTTCAAATTTATGTTGATGATATCATTTTTGGATCTTCTAACGAACTGCTTTGCAAAGAATTTTCCAAGAATATGCAGAATGAGTTTGAAATGAGTATGATGGGTGAATTGACATTCTTTCTCGGCCTACAAGTGAAACAAACCAAAGGTGATACATTCATTTGCCAAGAGAAGTATGCAAAGGAGATTGTCAAGAAGTTTGGATTGCAGAATTGCAAAAAAACAGACATTCCCATGTCTCAATCATCCAAACTGGACAAAGATGAAAATGGTAAAAAGGTTGATCAGAAGGTATATAGAAGCATGATAGGATCATTGTTATATCTTACTGCATTTAGAACTAACATCCTATTTAGTGTCTGTATGTGTGCAAGATTTCAATCAGACCCAAAGGAATCACACCTTTCTGCAGTTAAAAGGATAATCAAATACATTGGAACTTATCCAATGTTAGGTCTTTGGTATTCCAAAGATTCAGATTTTACTCTTACTGATTATTCTGATGCTGATTTAGCTGGATGTAAAGTGGACAGGAAAAGTACTACAGGAACATGTCAACTACTTGGAATTATGTTGGTATCCTAGTACTCAAAGAAGCAAAATGCAGTTGCACTTTCTACAGCAGAAGCAGAATATGTGGCTTTGGGAAGTTGCTGTGCACAGATTCTATGGATGAAGCAACAGTTGCGAGACTTTGCTATTGAAGATTCAAGTGTTGCAATCAAATGTGACAACACAAGTGCTATCAATTTGACCAAGAACCCAATTCTTCATTCACGTGCTAAGTATATTGAAATCAAGCATCACTTCATCAGAGATCATGTTCAAAATGGTGATATGAATATTCAATTCATTGATTCTAAGAATCAATTAGCCGATATATTCACAAAACTTCTTGATAAGTCTTCATTTGAGTACATTAGAAATAAATTGTGCATTACTTATCCATTTTCTTGAAGTATTTGTTAGACAGGAATTTTTCAGACTCAAATGTTCTCCGTCTGAATGTCCATTTCAGACTCAAAAGAAAGGTACGTCCTTAATTTAAAATTTGGCGGGTATATTTTTGGCATTTCTAGCAGGATATTTTCGTATTTCTTACTTTCGGAAGCAAATCAGGTATGTATTCTAATTTATCTGATTAATTGTACTTAAAATATTGTCGTGATTATTTGTGCTTAAAATATAATATTTCCTTCCTTTATAATAGGATCACTTATTCTATATTCAAAAAGGATCTTTCTTTCCAAAAACTATCCTCCTCTTTTATAAAACGGTCCTTCTCTTTTCCAAAACTCTATCAGTACGAACCTTTTTCTCTCCCAACCATCACGATACTCCGAGTCTCCTCCTCTTCCTTCTCCAAGATCACATCTTTTAGCTCTAGAACCGATCACAATGCCTTTCAAGAGACGATCAACAAGGATTCTAAATAGAGACATCCAGTCGTCAGAGAAGCCAGAATTCATGGATATTTCTGATACAGACTCAGATCATGGCAATGAACCTTATGAAGCGACGCAACAAGCAGCGCAACCATCGTCTCCTCCAAAAGATTCGGGTAAAACTGATTTTTGCTTCCCAAACATCAAACAAGTATGGAAATCTTACGAAAGATTGAAAAGGGGTAATGCATCTGAACCGGCTCTTAGTCAATGTTTAAAAGATAACAACTTTAGATATGAAGAAGAGTTAGTTCGCTGCTACACTCGTCTGTTTCCTAATCTTGTCTCTCAGTCCAAAAATACTATCAGTAAAGGCAAAGCGAAGATTGGAGAATCATCTACTCCATCTCAGAGAAAACCAGTTCAGACAAGCCCTAAATCGCCCACTGATTCTAAGGCTACGATCGATGATGATGCCGGACTTTACTATAATTTCAGCAAGAAGTTAGGCATTGCTTATGGTGAAAAGGGCAGCGGAGGTTTGTTTCTTTCTAAAGTTCACCATGAATATTACAAACTGTTGATGAATAGAGGAATTATGCATCATCGCAGTGTAGATTTTGATTATCTCAATCGGGTTGGCATTCCTGTGCAACATTTTTTTGAGAAATTGGGTATGACAGAATTCTGCTTTCAATCTGCACGTGCATATGCAGAACTAACTGCATATTTTTACTCGAATCTCTCAATTTTGTCACCCAATCGGCTTCAATTCACTGTTGGAAGCAAGACTTATGATCTCAAAGTGGAAACTTTGGCTCGGATTATTGGTGTCAAAAATTACAAATTTACTCCATTTGAAGTGAGTTTGGAGGAAGCTTCTAAGGCTGCATCAAAAAATCCAGCTTTTTCCAGAGGTCCTAAACGTCTGATCTCTTATTTAGATTTGACCAGAAGAACAGTGATCTTACATAATAAGATCATTATTAATTGCTTGAGGCCTAAAGCTGCTTCTAAAACAGACTTATCCAAATCTGAGATCAAGCTTATATGGGCAATTCTAAATGGGCAACAATTTTCTCTTCCTCATATTATCATTTTTCACATGTATAGAACAGTTCTGAGGGACAAGGGACAACTCCCTTATGGCGCTCTTATCAGTAGGATATTTCATTTCTTGAATATTACTATTCCTAATAGTTTGTGCAAGACTCTTGTTCCTTTAATGCATGTTGGAGAAAAAATGCTCATCAAGATGAATTTGAAGCAATTTGACTATCGAAAAGAGAAAGTTGCTATTGACAGTGCAGAAAAAGGAAAGTCTGTTTAGCAGTCAGAAG